CTTCTTCCTTAGTCTTGCTGAAAGTACGGAATCATCAAACCCACAGATCTGAGAGAGTTTTGTAATACATTCTTGTAGCCTGGAAAGCACACTGCCTTAACTTCAGTAAAAATCTCCTTGCACGTACCCAGCTGGCACTGAAGTGGATAAAGCTTCACCACTTTGGACCAGCTGAGTATGCGATCTTTTGTGCCAGTTAATTACTGTAATTTAAAACATCCTTCAGTATTCATATGGCTAGGCATGATATTCTCAATTTCTCAAGGTTAATTACATCTTAATAGAAGGAATGCCATTTGGACATTCGCCTTTCCACATTCCCATGCAGCTATTTCTCCTGTTCTTCACCACACCACCATGATAGTCATTTGCATGGAAAGCTATCAGTGTGAAACTGCCTAAGCATTTTTGTTTAGGGCAGTTAAATTGGAAAAGGATGGAGAAGATGCTTCTGAGGGTGGCATCCTGTCTGGTGAATTTCACTAGATAGGAGTCTTGTCTATGTGCATACTTTAGATTTTTTCTGTACCCAGTCTAGAGAAATGGGCACCACCAGCTGGGAAGGTAGCTAGGACAGCTCTAACGAAACATCCTGCTGAGGAAGCAGAAGGTGAGTTAGATGAAATGCTTTGGATGGTAAGGTTAGGAGAGCTGAGTAAACAGCTAGCTCTTTGTAGAAATTCTCCCAGTGCTCAGAAAGCAAGAAAGTGTTCTGTGGAAGGAAAGGTGTCTGTCTCCATCTGTCTCTTTCATTGTTTACACTTCTGCAGATTCCACAGGCAGTTTCCAAACAGCCCCTCTGAGTTGTCATTTGAAAATTTTTCAATATTTTAGCTTGAGAACCCTTGCATTTCTGCTGCAGCACTTCTAGTATCTTAGAAATTGATTTCTTTGGAATATAAATTGTCAATCTTTGATGTGATACAAAGTTAATTTGATTTCTGATTGGAATCGGATTTTCACTAAAAACAAATTAACCCAACCTGTAACTCAACACACAAACTTTAAACAAAGAGTTCTATTAACTATTATTTAATAATTGTTTTCCACTAGTTCCTTTTAATTTTCTTGATCCTTTGAAATTCTTGGCTCCAGACAAAAACTTTAACTATTATGAGGGAAGTGTGAATAACTGTTACTTGCATGGCAAAACATAGGGGGAACTTGAAAGTTTCATCAGAGTTCTTGTTTTCCTGGAATTTCCAGACCCGTTTCAGACCTCCCAAAGTCTGTATGAGCTTATCTCAAAGTTTTCACTCTGTGTTTCAAGGATAGGATAGACTTTTGTTAACCTCATGGTGCCCTTTAGTTCTCCTTTGCTCATTTCTTGATTTCTTTAAACAATTATTTTTAAAAGAAAAGATTTGTAGTTGGTGAGAATATCTTGACTACAAAAAAGAAAAATAGTTTTGTATTATAATTGATGGATTTAGGGCAGGGAATCTAAATATAGCTTACTCTCATAGTCTTTAAGTTGGGACCTCTGTGACCAATCTGTTAATAAGAAATTGGAGAGAGGAAACTCAAATCCCATGGGAAACTAAAATTGTAGAAGTACTCTATCTATGTTTAATCTGAAACATATTTCACATGTGTAGGGCTAAATACAAATATGGCTGTAATATTTTCTTCCTATACAACAAGATTAAAAAAGGGTTTAAGAAACATTAAGTTAATAAGATTTAGAAGCACTTTTGCCCTTTTGTGTGAGTAATGAATTATTTACAGTATGTAGTCTTAAGAGGGTTGGCACAAAACTGGATATTCCCAGAGTATGGAACCAAGAAAGTCTTTATTTCTTATTTCCTTTGCTGTGTACATACTAGAAACAAAAAGGATGTTATGTAGAGAAACAGACAGCATTACCAAAAGATGGTTGAAGTACTGCCTCAGTGCTCCATCAACATACTCGCCAGTTCTTGAAGCAGTTGCCATCCAGCCCATGCACAGAAAATGCCTGCTCCCATCTGAATCATTCTTGTTGGTCAGATCCCCTGTGCACATTTTCCCCAGGAAACAGCAGGAAGCATTCAAACAAGCAAACTGTCGCCCCAGATACATTTCTGGGTTGGGTTCTTGGTTCTACTGGAATAATTACAAAGCGGTGAGCAACAGCTCAGAGCAGAGAAGCTTTGGAACAGAGTTGCATAGAAACATACACGTTCAGGAGAAAACAAAATTTAGTCAGAAATTGATTCCCAGCTTGCTTGGGGTGGTTGGGTAACTGTATGTGTTAGCGCTTTGTCCAGTGCAATCCAACCAAATCATACAGCAGGAAAACACCTGCCTTCCATGGCCAGTTTCTTACTTTGTCCTTTGGTGACTTTATTCACCCTTAGCTTTTTTTCTTCTTGAGTTTTGACTCTCTAGCCTCTCTCATTTAGTATAAGTTTTCCACACCAGTGACTGGAGGAATTAAAATACTCACTTCTATCCAGGTAACATAAATAATAGCAGTAAAACTATTCAACAGAATTACACAAGAGAAGGTGGCAACTCCTTCCACAGCTTTTCTACTTTCTTCTTTTCAAAATCGCTCAACTTTGGGGGCAGCAAGTTGTAAAGCATGGGCAATGGACAGAAGTACATGCAAGTAGCTGATAAATACCAAATCAGTTACCAGCAGCATCTTTGGAGAGCTCGAGGCCGGGTTGCAGTGGGAACATTTGCTACACTACAGGACACTGTTGGTATCTCTGTGAGTTATTTCCATTCCCAGTCCTCAACACGTATGTCTCCCTTCCATTTGTCTAAAAATAAACAAACATGCTTTCCCCAAAGAATGGGGAACTAGTAAAAGCTGTGATTTCATAGAGCATACTGGGTTTGACTTGAAGGGTTCTGTAGAAGTATAATCAGTTTTAAGATTTGTATGGTCTCTAATAGCTGGTATCTTTTACTGTCAGCAAAGTCATCACTGGATATTCTCCTTTTAATATTTCTGCCCAGCTGCAAACTTGCCTGAAGATATTTTCTCAAACACGTACACAAAAGCAAAATTCAGTGGCTTTTTTGCATTGAATTCACCTATGCACATACTGTCTCCAAAAAGAAATTCAGTAAAGCAGCATAAACTGTCTTTTTACCCTGTGAAATGGAATTTGATACCATGACTCGAGCGCGCAAAAGGAGGTCAGACTCTTCTAGTTCATGTTCACTTTGTTCATTTTGAACCTTTTGGTTTATCTGAAATCAGTTGCCTGGGGAATTTTTGGAGTCTCCATCATTAGAGGTCTTTAAGGTCAGGTTAGACCTGAACTGTCAGAAGTGATACTGATGAGGCACAAGATACAGATCGAAGAGAAGGTGCATTAAGGTCCTTTCCTGCCCTATCTCTGTAACACTAATCAGAAAAGCCCAATTTTATGATACTTTGCTAAAAGCTGGCCTGATTCTGTTCTCATGCCGAGGTCAATTGGGAATCACTGCTTAGGGCAGTGAGCCAAATTCAGTACATGAGATCAGAAAAGGGATTTTTTAAGGGAAAGAGTTTAAAAAGGAAAAGAAAGGTTAAGAAGGGAAGTGAGATTGTAGCAGGACATGGGTTCTGTGGTACAAAGTGCAGTTGTCTCATTCAGACTGTGAGGATGCTATGGGTGTGACTTGATCATTAGCTCATGTCAGTGACACTTCATATAGGTTAATGGATCCAATATGACTCAGTAATTTATTTCACCTTTCCTATCCCTTTCAACCATTTCCTCTTGAAGCAGTCACTTCCCTGAATGGGGCTCAACTCAATGTTAATACACAGTGTAAACAGGAAATACCAAGTCTTGCCCCAAGTTTAAAGCATTGCTAATGCTTTCATGATGTTAAGAAACTGATTTTGAGCTCACTTTGCTATACTAACTTTATGGCATATATTCTTTGATGTCCAGGGAGTAATGCTGGTATAAAAGGTGTAACAAGAACCGCAGCTCATACACAGCTGTAGGTCTTAAGATATGCAGTAATCTGGGTGAAGCAGGGGAGCTTCAGGTAACTCTGAATAACTTTGTTCCAGTACGTTAAGCAATATTGGCATATCAGTCTGAGTCAGTATTTGCCTTTTCTGCTGAGCTACTGTCCAAAGGACCAAAGTGGCTGTCTAAGTCTAGGGTTGCTAGAAACCAGTATGTTTGTGTGTAATATAAACACCCTTTTATGTTGCAAGCTGGAAGCACAAGGTATTTTTATCTAAAGCTTGTTGAGGTGGAAATAACTATTCTGAAGTTGCTCATGGTATAGAAGCCTTTGTTCCAGAATAAAACAACTTTATTCTGAGTATTTAACCTGCTCTCAGTTCAGTTCACATGAAACACTTGTAAGTGCTCTCATTACCAAGATTATCAAGATTCACTACTGACCTTTGAATTCACAGCCTGCTATCTTCCAAATTGATTTCCATGTATAGATAAATCCTTGTAACAGGACAACCCCACAAATGGTATAACGGGGCCTTTTTGTTGGCATGTTATTCTACAGATCCAATTTGAGAGAGAACTTTTTTGCTTCTGCTACAAAAATGAGTTTTTGTGCTACTTGTACTTCAAGTGAAATTTGCCATTGTCAGTTGACAAGTTCTCAGTATATTGTCCAGCCAGCAGAGCATCAGTGGCTGAACTTATTACATTCCTATTGTCATACTGCTTGGAGATCAGGTCTCTTCTGAACATAGCAGGAGTGATCCTGTCATCCAGTTTTCTATCCTGGATGACCTAGAGGTTGCAACAGAGCCTAATTAAGCTGTTACTGAGAGCTGCAAGGATGCTATCAAATTGAAATCTGCCAAAGGCATGGATACAGCTGATACAGACATAGAATACTGACAACTTGAGTGCAGATTTTATCTAGTAGTTGAAGAGATAAGGAGACTTACGAGTGGAGTAGGTCTTTGTTGCTGGACCTATACTAAGCAGCGTAATGATAGAATGCTTTCATGCTGTTTATATATATATGCATCTGCCTCACTGTCCCACCCCAAAGAACCATAGTGTGCCTCTGTCTCTGTTGTGTTCAAAAGCAAAGTTTGAAAAGGTTAATGTGGTGTCAGTTGTTTTAAAAAAATAGGAAATGTCTTGGTATTGCATCATTCATTTTTATCTTCACTTTACATGTGATCTGGGCCTACCTTTTTAGATACTAACTGCACAGTGCTTGGGTGCTGCCCTGCTGCTCTTCATGCTACAGCTGCAGTGACTCAGAAATGTTAATGACAGTCTTCCTTGCAGCCTACAGCAGTAGCGTCCCATTGTACAGCCTAGGAACTCAAGCATAAAGAAAAAATTAAAAAATGGATTGATTTCAGGTGTTTGATTTGTAGAACATACCCTCCCCCTGTTCTCTCCTGCTTATCCTCAGTTGCTCACTGTTTTGCTTTTCAAACAAGATGGTTTCTTCCTCTTTCCACTTGACTGGGATACTGGGAAAGAATTTTGTTGCTCTCAGCTCTAGTAGCAAGGAAGCCTTCAGTGTGCACAAAGAATAACTGAAAGTCTCCTAAAATAGATTTAGGGGAAATTCATAGACTTTGAGGGAACTAGAATCACAACATTGTAGCCAAACCACGTATGTTTCCAAGCAGGTGTAATTTTCATACACTTGTTTTGACCAGAATCATAAATGAAAGATTCCAAGTTAATATTATATCAAAAAAGGATATACAGTCGCTCAAGCATATTGCTTTTATTTTCTGTTGTCCTTCTGAAGTAGGATCACAGGCTGTTGCTTCCTGTATCAGTGTGTACTGAAAGTTTTTTAGACAAAAATCTAAATCAACATGATTTTAAGGAACAGACATCGCTTGCACTGATAGTGTAGGGCAGGCAAGCACTGTCCACTGAAGCTAACAACCAGTCAAATGCACACATTCTTTCTACATCATTTCAGAACACCAGAATTCTTGGACTAATTAAATAACATTTCATAGTTGAGCAAGAACAACAATTTCTGAGCACTGACTATCAATAGAGCATAACTAACGTGTTTTCACCTTGGAAGCCCATACATGCACTGATTAGTGGAGGGCTTTCACTGAAACTGTGCCTAATTTGAAATCTATGTTGTTAACTCATTCACCACTATTCCCACTTCTCATCTAATTGCCAGATTTAAAGGCAGTAACATAGTAAGCTTCCACAGTGCTGGAGTAACTTTTTTGTTTTGGAGATATTGCACATAACCAGTGACAGGAAGACAATAGCTAAGGACACCAAATTAATCATGCCATAGTCTCAGATTCAGAAGTATTTAGGTTTCAAACAAAGCTGGACTCTGTAGTAAATACAAACCCAACTTCCTAATGGGAGGGTATAGAGAAGAGAGAGTCGAGACTTTTTCTTGGACATGTACAGTGAAAGGATGAGAGGTAAAATAGGCACAAGTTGCACCAAGAGAAATTCCAATTCGGTATTAGGAAGAAATTTTTAACCTTGAAAGTAGTGATGCATTGCAGCAGAGGCTCAGAGAGGTTGTGAAATATCCATCAAAACATGTCTGGGCAAGGTCCCCAGTAATCTTGTCTAATTTGGCCCTGCTTTGGGGGCAGGCGTTAAACATGATGCCCTGCAAGAGGTTTCCTCCAAGCTTTTGTGATTCTAAAATACACAACAGTAACATACTTAAGATTTATGTGTAGAGTCCAAAAGAAGCCTGAGAGGAGAAACTAAAATTTAGTTACTGTTCCCAAGGCTTTTTGTGTAAACTTGAAATACAAATAATTCAGAATATATTGTTATCAAAGGGAAATGCTTCAGATCCATATTGACATAAATGAGGCAAGAATGTCTTTGAGCTGTTAAATAATATAGGTTTTTTTCTTGTTTTTTTCTTTTAGCTTACCTTCAATCTAATCAAGTCATGGGCTGGGGAGAGAAGGCAATTGAACTACGCTCTGTGGAAACAGGAAATCTGGAAGGAGTATTTATGCACAAGAAAGCACAGAAGCTGAAATTTCTGTGTGAAAGAAATGACAAGGTACAGAGATGATTACAGCGTGGTGATTTGGCAAAAATGAGTAACAGTTGACTATGACACTAAGACCATTTAATTTCTGTACCTTTGTTTTTACGTTGGTTATTTCTTAGCTTAGCGTAACTTCCCTGTTTAAAACCAATGTAGTCACTGACCCCACAAAGCACTCACTATGGATATTCCACATTTCCCACCACCCTACTTTAGCCAGCTGTTGTAATTCCTGTTCCACCCAACCTTAACTGATACCGGGGTGATAACAAATCCAGAGCAGCCATCATAGGGGAAAAAACCCCAGTGTTCTAATATTTAAGATATTGCAGGCACTAGAGTATGGATAATCAATTATGTTTTCTTGCACACAGCAGTGCTTGATAAATGTTCTGTGAAACCTGCTTAGTCCCACTGATATATTCAGAAATCTGGGGCCCCAAAACTGTTTTAGATTCATTCTTTTAAAATGTTTTCTTGTGTCTGTCCAAACAGGAAAAGTATACTAAAAAATATATCCCTGTTGTGCCACAAGCATGGTTTCACTTTAAAAAGTTTCTTGTGAGATTAAAATTTAATTATGATATATATATACTTGTATTTGGGACTGTAGCATTCTCTGAGGTTTCCTGTATGGGTAAAAATATTCTCCTAAATGTAAACTGACAGTAGCATTTTTTTTTTCTTCTTTTTTTCCCCTTTCAAGGTGTTCTTTGCATCTGTACAGTCAGGAGGCAGCAGTCAAATATACTTTATGACTCTTGGTCAAAATGTACTATTCAACTGGTAAATTACATCAACATGAAGGATGCTTTGAAATTCCCTGTAGGTAACAGTGTAAAATGCTTGGAGGTAATATCAAAAAATTTGCACTTTTTACCTACAGAAACTTTGTCATTATTAACTTAATCAAAATTAATATTCTTTCAGTTTGGAAAGAATTCAGTTTTTCCTGTAAAAGTATTGCAAACATGTTTAGTTTGTCTTCTAAAATACATTGCAAACCAAGATTTTATTCACAGTGTTAGGAGAGAACAACTTTAATGAAGAATGTAACCAATATAAGAAGCTCCTGTACTCTGAAAAGTACAGTTTCATTTTCATAGATGATGTAATAGTGTTATCTTGAACCTAAGTCTCTTTCTTTTTTGGACAGCAACATTCGTAGGCAGATAAAAAACACAAGTTGGGTGACAAATTGGAATCAACTTTATTTTGAATTGGGTTTTGGCTTGTTTTGTATTTTAAGCAAGCTGTTACTGTTTTACCAAGACTCGCTTGTCCAAGTCTTACAATCAGTGAAGGAACAACTGTTGATGATGGGGCCTAAGGCAGATTGGGATGTCTGAGGGATCGCTATCCTGCGCTGGGCAGACAGATGCATTTTACTGCAGACTTGCAAAAGCAGCTACTTCTAGACACGTGCCCCATCTGGTAGATTTTACAAAATGCAGGAGACAGACTTCATATTTCTCTCAGGGCTGGATGCCTGAGCCTGTAGACACAGTTACTGTAGAATGTATTTGTAAAAATAGTTTAAATAGTAGTTTGTCAAAATCACATATGCATAAAGCATTATGGACCTGAACCTGCAACTTTTATTCAAACATGAGACCCACGCTCATATGAGTTGATTTAAAGGCACTACCCATGTATATAAAGGCACAGGATCAGGCACCCTCTTTTCTTCCCTTCTTGCTCTTTCAGCATCAAGTCGTCATGTATTTCTATGTAAATATAATCTTTCCACAATGGATGTTAAGATTAACTATTTGGATATTTTCATAAATATATTAAGAATACATTTGTTAATCTATTATAAATAGAAAATATAAATAATTTCAGGTGCTTTCTATGCTCATTACATCTAAATAAACCTGCATCCACTAGTGTTATTGGTGCCAGTGTTTCTGCATAAACTCTGTTCTCAGGGGCTTGTAACTTGGCCATAAAACTATACAGATATTTTATATCTATATATATATATATTATATATAATCATATACTAAGATTAAATTGTAAGGTTTAATGCAATCCTCATTTAGCTGATTTTTGGATGTGCTTTGAAAATGTAAAGCATCAAGTGTAATACAAAAGAGCTCATTCCAGACATAACAGTATGGATGACACTGTAGGCAAAAGTGAAATTGCTAGCTACAGCGTTTGAAAAATAGGTATTTTTTACTTGAAATACGTGATACTGAAAGGTGCAGGGAAAGTGTGTTGGAATATCTGGTCGTCTACCTCAAGGATGATGATTCAAGTTGACTAAGAAGAGCAGAAATAAAGTTGTTCAAACTGGGAGCTGTTTTGTACGGTGTGTCAGGTGAAGTGAGTGTTCGCAGTCCTTCTGTGACTGACAGGTGCTCAGACTGCAACCCGCAGCTCCACAACTGGCATCCTTGTCTGTGTCAGCAGAGAATCAAACTAGGGGCTTATCCCCCTTCCCCGTGTTGGCAGATCAGAGATGCCTACACTGTTGCTGTCTTACTGGCTGTGTGGAGGACTGCACTTTCCAGAGTTATTAACCTAGCACTTTTAATAAGCACTAGCTTATCTCAAAGTGTTTAGTGTTTTTTATGAAGTATTTTCCTTTTAGATGATTTAACTTACAGAAAAACAAGCCTAAGGCCATACTAAAAAATGTGTGGTTAAATACTCAAAGTGGTTCTTAATGTACACAAGTAATCAGCTTGTGTGCAGACTTACAGTCTGAATGGTATACTGTGCTCAGGCAGAGCTGTGTGAAAACAGGAGGTCTGTGTCTGTAGTCATATTCCTACCTGTTGCTAATGCTCGGACTGGGGCGAATGAGCAGAGCATGGCTTGGCTCCCTGTGCTACTGAACACTGGGCTTGTTTTGTTCAACTTTCACAAAAAACAACAAAGAAACAAACCTAAGAAAGTTACAATTACAGGCAAAAAATAATTTGCAGACAATCAGAAATACAATTAACGTGGTTTTGATTTAAAATAAAAAGTCTAAGAGACTGTGAAGAAAACAGCTTTCATTTTGTACCCAGTAGGTGTGCAAAACTTGCTTGCAGACCTGCACATGCTATACGCAATCAGTGATCCAGGCTGCCCTATGATATTTTAAGTGTGCTTATCTCAGCAGCCTCTGCATTACATGGGATGCATGTGAATTTTTTTCCTTCTTCCATTTTGGTGTCAACAGGTAGGAGGAAGATTTTTCCTGATGCTAGGCACTAGTTAAAAAGAATTTAGCAGAGAACAGTGGGAATTAGGAACAACCCACGTTAACAGATTAAAGAAGCAAATGCGATCAAATTTGTTTAATATTATTGTAACAGAAAAGTGTGACAGTAAGTTGACACATTGAAGATGTTTAGCTCCATACCAAGGGGATATGAATAAGTTCAAGAGAGGGAATGTGCACTATTACATTGAGATTTTAATTTTTCATTCTGTTTCCTTCCTTGGACTTTAATCTGTCACTTTCTGTGTAAAATTATTGGGATTATTGGGGTTACATCCATGTGCAAATATGGAAAGAATAGCAACTGGATGCAACAAGAAGACTGGCATTTTCTCTTTATCAAGAGAAAATCAGAATGGTTGAAGATCAGAAAGAGCCCAGAGATGTTGAGAAGAGTAACAGAGTGGAAGTGACTGAAGAGGAGGGAAGAGCCGAAGAAAATAAATAGGAGTAGCCAAAGGGGAGGAAGTGGATGTCTGGAACAGTGTATTGCTGTAGGGGGAATAAAAAAGGTTAAGACATGTTAAGGAAAAGAAAGTAACCAAAGAAATTTAAAAGTATCTGGAGTCACCTGGTAGTCTGAACACTGAATGAGAGAGTGTTCTGAATAACTGTTCTGCTCAAAGCAGAAGTGCCAAGACTGGATGAAAAAAAAAAATTCCAGAGACCCAAGTTTGTCCTGACAGAAGTTTAACTATGCAAAAAGTGTATCAGATTTGTAGTTTCATTTTGTGAGGCATTTCTCCAGCTGTATCCTTTCACTAACTTTTAAAACCAAGGACTGAACTGCTTAACAGTGTGTTTTTTCTAGTGGTTTCACTTTGATGTGAACAAATGCCTATAGGGGCAGAAGGGCAGAACGTTAAGGATCTATGTCAGTAATCTTTTGGTACATGTAGTATCCTAATGGCAGGTGGTGCTCCTAATGTTGTATTTGCCAAGCAAGACTGTGCTAATACTGCAGCAAGATAGTACTGTTTGTGCCTGCTTCCATTTTAGGAATGGTGAACTCTCTTCTGCAGCCTGAACCTTGACACATGACTTTAAAGCCTGGGAACAACACAAGCTGTGTACTGTACGTTATGTATTGTTCCCTAATGTTGAAATTGTACAACTGCAACAGCAATAAAAAACACTCTGAAAATCAAAACTAATACTGTGCTTGTAAAATTCTGTTATATTGGCATAAGCTATTGTAAAAATCATAGAAAGCTTTGTTACTGTTTTGCAAATCCAGTCAGTATCCCTAAGGAAACAGGTCTATCTGCCTACAGAGACAAAATTAATATATTCCCTTGCAGTGGATAAAGACGTTGAGGTGACAGTGTGAGAGTTCAGCCCAGACAGAGTGCTAGGAAGGGTGACAGCCGGCGCTGTGCTGTGTGTGCTGCTAATGAGCTTCACAAGTGAGTCTCTGTCCTTCCACCTTTCTCTTCACACCAAATCCCAGTGGGATGAGGGCAGTGGAGCAAAATGACAGCTTGCAGTCATCCACGCTACAAGAACTGGCTTTCATGCATGTGTATCAGCCTGAAGGCCAGGTTAGCCCAGTTCACTCATGCAGTCTTTGTTGCTGCATATAAAATTTATTGCTATACGTAACGTGAGGTGTGGCAGCACATTGTAGCTGTACCATTTAAGAGTACAAATTAGGACATTTGTCACTTATGCCAGTGTTGGGAGTTGGAAAGGATGAGGGCATGAGGCAAGATTTCTCTTATTTTTTTTAAATGAAGAAGATCTTTCATCAATGTTGTATCTCTTAAGCTAGCAGAGCATCTCATTTCCAGAATTTGATGTATGGAGTGGGATCTGTATCATAAATTTAAAGATATTGTGGTTGCTTGATTGGGTACATAGGTTAGTTTTGCCAGTCATTATTGTTCTTTCCACCAAAAGTTATTTCTAAGCTTCAGTGATACAGTACACCTGGATTACTCCACACCAGTTACTGCAAGTGAGTTTCACTCCCCAGCACAAGAGGAAATCAGGCTTGAGTTCCAGTACAATTCTGTCTGCAGAACAGGAGATTTTATCTCCTTTTTATTTGCTTATCTCCTTTAAAATCAGGAATAATTGTAGTAAGTAGAGAAAAACAAGAATTATGGCAGCCTGCTAAACATTAATGCTGGGCAGTAAAACACACCTACACACACACACAATGCAAGTTACATAATATATCAAACAAACTGTAAATAGCTTTGTCTTATCTATTGCTATGGCAGCTCAAATGAAATGGCATTTTAATTTTAGCTTTGTTTTGCATTTAAAAGTAGTTTGTTTCATGGTACCAAAATGCTCTGGAATGAAATCATTTCTCCAATGACCATCATGAAAGCTAGCTACATGTTCAGTTCCATGTTTAGACAGCTGTATTTAAGTTAAATGAAACATGAGCAAATCTGCAATCTATATAAAAGCCTTCTATAGATTCCCAAACTTGCACAATAAATCAAGGTTCCACGTAACAAAAAATGTAAGAGATCTTCCTGCTACACTTTCTTAAACTGCTCTTCAAAGTACATAGATCTGATTAAAGGGCAAGAGGATGTCTGCTGGGTAATCACCTCAAGTGTTATTTTAGCATTATTCAATTGCTTCCTGTTATTTTCTAGGTTGATGTAACAAAAGCACCTAGGAGATAATGGTGAAAGGTATTAGAAAGGCTTTTCCATTTTTGTCCTCAAAATGCTTTGTGGCAAACAACTGTGTTTTACACCAAGCTTTATGATCTTGCAGAATAGCTATTTTTTTTTTTTAATCTACAGCATCACCTTTTATTCTTTTGCGCCTCATTTCTCCAACATACATTGAACATAATGTTTAACAGAATGTAAAATTGTCCTATTCAGGGTAGCCCATTCCTCACTGGCATTGCTGTAGGGGCTAACTGCTGGTGTTCTTAAGGCACGTTGTACATAAAAACTGAGGTACTTGGCTGCTAATTATGTCTGAGAATTGGAGATTATGTATTGATTCACCTGAGGTTGATACTGGTACAGTTCAGCACACTTAGTTATAGGTATGTGAAAAATCATATTGTCTTCAATGAGCTGCTTACACGCCCCAATGGAACCGGCTCAACATAACACAATGAGCTCTTATTTTTCATGATTCTGATACAGCCATCTGCTGATGGCTCATCCCCAGTCATTACTGAGTCTCCAAATGTTTCTGAACTTCCTGTTTCTAATACAATCACATCTGTCCCACTGGTCAGGTATAGCAGGGAAATCACATCCAGAGGAACTCATAGACATAACCAGTCATTAAAACATACTGTTGACATGCCATTAGCAAAGGGATTTACCCTGCTCCAGTTTTGAAACTGTGTGTTAGCTAGACCTCTGCTGGTAAGAAAGAAAGTTAACAGGAGCACGTTCCTAAAAGCAGGAACTATATCTTGTATCTGAACCTGCAATGCATAAAAATTTATCTAAAATTGTAAGTATTAACTGTAGTATTATCAGTCCATATCAGTCCATTATCACTCCACAAAAGCTACAGCTTCATAGTTTTCATGACTGAAACCACAGTGACTTACAATAACAAAAAATCCACAGAACAGATGTACATGTAACAATTACCTCTGCTATAAATAAAATATCTTTCTTCTGCAAGTCATATCACAAGCACAGACAAAAGCTGGGAACAGTCCACAGACTTCCTTA